ACTGGGCGTTATCAAGTTACTTAAATGAGATTAGACACGCGCAACACTTATCTATGTAAATCGATAGGTACAGGACGATTACATACATATGTATAATAAAATAGTAACAATGCGAAATTTGTACATGAATCATTTTTTAAAAAACAATGACTGTAACGTATTGTGTACAGAATATTAACCCCAAAACAATAGTTGTCATAGTCGTTGTCTATTTATCTGTATGTAAAGTGGATTTTAACCACGCAATGGATTTTGTTACGGTTTTCATTAATAAAAAGAGCGTTAAACGAGGAAAGTTTGTATGTATAATATGTAAATATTTCGTACAAGATGGCTGAACTATGACGCTGTTTTGTCAAAAAAAACTGAACACACGTGTAACATGGAAAACGCTGGCTAATCCTTAAGGGTTATACATCAAAAGAACGTACTAGAAAATTGTATGTCTTAAAAAGGCTTTTAGAAAGTCTGTGAAAGCATGTGTCTATCTATTAAGGTACATTCGCAATAACTATTTTTATCTATTTAAAACTTACCTAGACGACTCATCTAGGCATAGGAACGCTTACTCAACGCAAATGAAGCGAGGTCGCTAGTAGGTACATAAAAAAAATCATAGAGTCAAAATATTGCTTTAGATATTTTTTGAAAATATAATGTACTTGGTAGATTATTAGTATCTATATATTAGAAACCAAAATATATTTTTTTCAGATTTTTTTTGGAATTCTAAACACCCAACCCTAGTTCATCAAATCACTGTGCTAACACGGAGCTTTGTTACCTACTTTTAGGGACATAGATACTTGTTTTTAATAAACATATTTATTTATCAGTACCGGGTGTAATCGTTATTGCTGATTTTATTTTACAACTAAGTCGTGATTTTGATAGTTAATAAACAGTATGTATAGAAAGAATTAATATCTTAGATAGCATTTTAGGTACTAGGATAGATATGTATATGCTAATATAAAACAGGATAGAGTCAAGCCATTAATTAACATAAGAAAGTATTAAAAAAAAATCTTGTGAGTATACACTGTACTTATGTACGCACGTAAGAAGTTATACTTCTTTGGCGTAAGATAAAAAAAGTGAAATATGAATTGCGAAGTTGTCAAAGTAAAAAAACACAAACTTAACGAAATGAAGCTTGTAAAAATAACAAATAATTAGTATACTAACCTTTTTCATTCAAACATGTGTTTCCGGCATATCGAATCCATTATTGTCATATCCACGCTTTTCATTCATTTTTCTTTATCACTACGATCTAATTATAATAATTTTCCTCATCGAACACAAAAAAATCCTTGAAATTGTTACATAAAACTGATGAATATGTAACGATGATACATAAATATAATACAGGAACATTTCTTCAGCCTGAAACGCTCCGAATCGCAACCTGTCTACGGCTTGGGGTTCCGGTCTGCGCTCCTCATAAATGTCCCTGTGGTAGTGATGTCGACAAGCTAGGACATCATGGTCTGTCATGCCAAAAAAGTGCAGGCCGCTTCTCGAGACATGCCGCGCTTAACGATATCATACGCCGGTCCCTTGCCACCATCAACGTGCCAAGTCTACTTGAGCCGACTGGTATTGCAAGAGACGATGGCATGAGACCGGATGGTATGAGTTTAATTCCATGGAAGATGGGCCGGGTGCTGGTATGGGATGCAACCTGTTCAGACACGCTCGCCCCTTCCCATCTACCATTGGAACCAACAACAGAGCTGGTGCGGCTTGTGAAGCGGCTTAAAAAACCAAAGCATACAAATACAGGGATCTAGGTTCTGAATATGATTTTGTTCCTTTCGGTGTCGAGACCCTTGGTCCGTGGGGTCCTAGCGCTATAAGACTTTTTAAGGAAATAGCAAAAAGGTTATTCGACGTCACAGGAGACCGAAGAACTGGCTGCTACTTCGGACAAAGAATTAGTCTAGCTATTCAAAGGGGGAACGCTGCCAGTATCTTCGGAACCTTGCCTAAAGGGACTCCTTTTAATAATATTTTTTAGTTATTATATTATGTATATATACTTAAGGCTTTTTCTTTCTTTTTAGTTTAATTTAGTGATATTTGATTATATGTACCTATGTAATATAATAAATATTAAACAATAAAAAAATATATAATAATACTTATAAAAATATTATTATTATTAATTTTTTGTTTAAAATAAAGGGTGCGTGTAACCTTTACTCGCGGTTGAAGTAAAACTTTTTTGGCAAATATCGCAATTCAAATAAGGCATATTAGGCAAACTACAATCATATATGTATAGAATATCATTTAAGAAAAGAATAATACATATATTAGATAAGAATAATAATAATATAATAGGTATATCATTTGTCAGACAATAACAACGGTTACCATGGCAACAAACAGTTATCAGCAAACTTCATCATGTCGCTTTTTGGCTGTTGGTGTGCGCATTGTAAAAATTTTATTTTCATAATTTTTGTCTAACGTCCCAAAAGAAGTACTTACCTATTTACATTAAAAAAATAAGTTTCACAATGTGATGCCAATCAATTTAGCTGTAACAATCATTACAGTTAATTAACGTAAGTACCTACTACGTAATAATTTTCTAACATAAGAATAACAGCATATGATATGTCCGTTTTTAGATTAAAATAGTCAAATGCTGTCAGTCAATGGTACAAGCATCAGAGATAGTCAGATTGCTATCATATGATATAATAATCGCTTAGGTACATTGACTTCAATTATCACAAAAATTAAATACAAGAATAATGTTACATACAGAATATGACCTCGGTTACCTACAAATTCTATATTTTAAAAGTTAGTTTTAATGTCAACGATTTTGCCAAGTAAACAATACTCTCCATTTTAAATAAAAAAAAATATTGAGTAGTTACATGGGAAATATTTACTATACTAGTTTTTGCCCGCTGACCGGCTTTCGTCGCAGGGCATATTCAAATTATAATTATTAATAGTAATCTACTAAGTATGTCTTATTATTAAACAGGATAAAAGGATTTTAAAACAATTCTATTCTTTTTACTGTAACTACCTACAGATTAAAAGAGTTTGACCTTTGAATCTAAGTATATGATTATCATCATAAAAAATATATTTCTGCCAATCTTTTATAATGAAAAGTCTCTTTTTATCAAAAAGAACAATAATAACGTAATGATAACTTGCCAGTGACACATGTTGATTGCTTAGGTACCTACTTTATTGATATTACCGCAAAATAAAAGGCGCATTGAGTTTACATTTATTACTTAACGAGCGACTCACGTAGGTACGTTTTAACGGTTAGTACGAAATACAAATCTTTGAATTTCTCCGCTTTTCTGTACTATAATATGCAAGTATTATACATATAAACCTTCCTCTTGAATCACTCTAGGTCTACTAAAAAAACCGCATCAAAATCCGTTGCGTAGTTTTAAAGATCTAAGCATACATAGGGGCATACAGACAGCGGGAAGCGACTTTGTTTTATACTATGTAGTGACGAGTAAGTAGGAACATTGTATAAGTATTACATATCAGTGTCATCAAAGTATTGGTGGTCAACCACACTCTTATCTAACGCTCACTGTACCATATCTTAAGTATCTGGCTTATCTGAAACATAAGAAGAAGGTATACTCAGTAACTAAAATTGTATAATATATTAAAAAGATTTATTAAATTGATTATGTGAGTAATATTTTACTAAATTTTGCACTCACATACGAATTCGCTATTCAGCAAAACATAAAATGATTATTATACCAGTTGGTAGTGTCCTAAAGACATGAGATAATATTTTAACGTTGATTTGTATGATGAATCTATTATAAAAATCGATCGATATTATCGATATTATTATAATTTTATTTAATCTAGTACATCATTTATATTTAAAAAAATGTTGATTTCAATTATCATACTCTCGCAGAAATTGTTGTACCTACATATTTAACTTTATTATGATGTGAGCTTAGAAGATCATAATTTTAACATATTCTTTAAAACGACTCGCTCAAATTAATTGTCAACTAAAAAATAAATAAAAAAACACTAAAAAGTAAAATATAGCTGATTGGTAGTTTCATTTACTATTAGATATATTCGAAGTCGATGTGCTTTGATTTATAATTTATATCGGCTGGCATTGACTTCAAAAATATCTGATTAGGTTTCTATACTAAATGAAAACTGCCAATCACTTATTTTTTACTTTTTACTGTTCTTTTTTTGAAGTAGGTGTTTATTTTATTTTAAGTTTTTATTTTTTCCTTTTTAGTGGAGACATAGTAGTAGCAAAATAAGAAGAATGTATTTTAAATATTCAGTTATCAGTATGTGAAAAATCAGTCATTCCCTATTCTCTACACTTATAGGTGGAATTTTTTTTCAAATTTAAATGGGACGATTTTGGTATAAACCTCTTCCGAACAAAAAAAGGGTTTTGCCAATCCGTCCATATATGTCGGAGTTATGCCTGAACATACATAAAAAAATATATAAACATCCGAATTGAGAACTTCCTCCTTTTTTTGAAGTCGGTTAAAAATATACATACCTACTATAAAAATATGAATTAACACTTAGTGACTTTAGCCTTTTATATCCATTTTATTAATACGACTACTATAGTAACTATGTATAATCACAACAAAAGTTATACATATAAAAATATTTACCTACTTGTAATATATGTATGTACTTGTGTCTTGTATCTTTTAAATGAACAGGAAAACATTTTAGTTGTCTTTGCATTGTGATATTTTGTTATATAAGATTTCCTCCTATCGTCTAGTCATTTTATCTTAAGTGTTAGTGTTAAGTAGACTGTAGATGTGTGTTTTACTTTACATTTAAAAAATAAATAAACAATAAATTTAAACATTTAAGTCCATGTCTGTAAATATAGATTAAGTTGATATTTAAAAGTCAATAGTTCGTGAATCTTTATTTTTCCCAAGAGATACCTACATTGCATGACGTTCGCTTTTAAAATGGTAAGTGATAAAATTTTACATATTATTCAACTCATAGATTATTTACACTTTTTTGTGTAATACCTATTTATTTTATAATAAGTGTATGCATAAAAATTATTTAATACTCGAAATATGTATAAATCTCAATTATTTTTAACTAAGAGTAGTTTTTAACGTATTCTTGAAAACAAAGAGGTTTGGCAGGTAACAAAGAGGTCGTTACAAGGATATATTTATGCTTATGTATAATCAAAGCAAAGGAACAAAGGCGTTTATTTTAGTGTTACAAATTGATGCATATATTATCTATAGTTGAAATTACTACAAATATAAATTAAATAGAAAATTGTAAATATGTAATTATAGATACTTTTACTAAATATTTTTTACTTAATATTTTTTCTTTGCAGAGGAGGATGAAAATTTTAAGTATTACTGGAATATTGTTGGTGCTGGTGGCAGGTGGCTTGACGATTGTATTAGCAGTCCCTACAACGCAGGTTTCTGATGCAGGGCGTCACCGGGGGCCTGATTCATGCACGCCGGTTATTATTGCACATCGCGGCGCTAGCGGGTACGCCCCTGAACATACTCTCGGATCATACGCCCTTGCTATTACTATGGGGGCAGATTATGTTGAACCAGATCTTGTGATAACAAAAGATGGCCAGCTAATAGCGAGACACGATAACGAACTGGGGCTAACTACAGATGTCGCTTCCCATCCAGAATATCTTCATCGTCGAAAAACTCAAACTATTGATGGAAAAGAAGTCACTGGTTGGTTCACAGAAGATTTTACACTAGAAGAAATCAAATCATTGAGAGCAATAGAACGCATTCCGGATATAAGGCCAGGAAATGCACGAATGGATGGCACTTTCGAAATACCAACATTTCAAGAAATTATAAATTTAGTAAAAGGATTACAAATAAGTCTACGAAAAACTATTGGACTTTATCCTGAAATAAAACATAGCAGTCACTTTAAGAACTTAGGATTGCCGATGGAGCAACTTCTGGTAAACACCTTACATAGAAATGGTTACGTCGATTCTGATGCATCCGTTTATATTCAATCTTTTGAAGTAAATAATTTAAAGGAACTTAAGAAACTCACCAAACTCAGGTTAATACAACTATATGAAAGTGATATGACGCTTCAACCGGCAGATCAAGTTTTAGAGCGTAGTGGTCTCACCTACGGCAATATGTCAACACCAGAAGGGTTAGCTGAGGTCGCAAGGTATGCTGCAGCTGTAGGACCAGACAAAACCTCTATTATTCCTCGAGATGCTGACAACAAACTCGGGGAACCGACAAGTTTTGTTGCAAATGCTCATGCTAATGGACTTAAAGTTCATCCTTATACCTACCGAGCCGAGAATGTATTCCTTCCTAAAGAATACCAAAGTGAAGACCCATCAGAATCGGCGAGAGGAAATTTGGCAGGAGAAATACAAAGGTATATCGATGCCGGTATAGACGGACTCTTTTCCGATCAACCTGATGTTGTCTTACGCTTGCGGGGTCCATGTTTGTAATGTTTGTTATGCCACTAATTTAAGTTTTTTAGTGGTTAATAGATATAATATTTATTTATTATTACTTACTCAATATACTTAATAGAAGCTAAGCATATATACATAGGTGCGATATACATAAGTATATCACACTTTTGTCTTTTATATATGTAAGATGAATTGTTGTGGGTTGTATTATAAGATGTTTTCCCGTGGGAATGATATAATCTCCCGCGGTAAAAAGTAACCTATGTCACTTTCTAGCCCTACAACTATCTCCACGACTATTCGTCACTATCTCGAAGTGAAAGAAGGACAAAAAAGACAAACACTCTTTCACATTTATAATATTAGTATAGATGTTATTTATAAAGTACTCAGTAGGTACATACGTACTAATTATGCTCTATACTTAAAATGTGGTTGAATGAATAATTTAGATTGTAATTGCACAAAAACAAGTTTTATACTAATAAGATTGTAGGCATACTTAGTTAGTACTTACTAAGTACTTAATATTTTATGTAAATAAAAAAACAGTATTTATAAACATACTACTAATAAATAGGTATGTACTACGTATATATTTTAACAAAAAGAGATTAAAAGATAAGCTAGCAAAGATAAGCATAAATATGTATGTACTAAACAAAGATAAGGTTTGATATGGATTAATTAGTGTAAATAGACGCATATAATAAAAACTATTTCAAGTTGATCTGTTTACTTTCCTATATATTTTATCATTTATCTCTTTATTTTCCTATAGCCAGTGGACAGTACTAGCTCTTCTAGCCGGTGAGTCTCACATAACCACCTGTATGTATACAGGTGGCATGCGTAAATCATTAAATGCATTTCCATTTCCCAATATTAATAGTCTACCAAATGAAAATAGATTCACAATTAGGGAAGATTTCACATAATCAGACGAATCTAATACCTCGTCCTTTTAAAAATTGTGTGTGTGTGTCCTTTTAAATAAGTGGATTACATTTTATTACATTGAACTTTTTGATACTTATCACCAAATTTAATGAAATTCTTTTCAATCTAGCAATAATAATCAACCTTTCGAAAGAATGTCCTCTACCTATAACTAAAATTATTATTGCATATTTAGCTATTCTGCGGCTCCTAGCGCGTGTGTAGCACGTAGAACATGGAGCTCAAGCTGGATCTATGTACTTAGATAGAAAAAATTACTAACAATAAGTCGTTTATATTAAAATCTTTACTAATAATAAAGTATAATACTTTTTAATCAAGTTGAATGTTTTTAACTCTTGTGTTTGTTTGAATGCGCTTATCTCCAGAATTATCAGTCCTGTTTGATTTTTATTTTAAGCGAGTGGATCCGCTGGTAAACGCTAGTACTAGTATAGTATTATATTATCTGCGGACTGTGACGCTAGTCTATACTAATTTTATAAAGATTTAAAGTTTGTGAGTTTGTGACGTTGTAGGGGGTAATCTCTGGATCTACTGAACCGATTTAGATGTTCGGTAAGAAGATAGTTTGAGACCCTGGGAAGGACATAGGATATTTTTTATCGCGAAAATCATCCCTTAAGGGGGTGAAAATTGGGATGAGAGTTTGTATGGGGAATCAACCTAGGGCCGAATACGAGCAGAGCGACGGTAAGTCGCTAGTTTTCAATAAAGCGCTCATAAATTCTTTAAAGCCGTTATTGACGCATTATTATCACAGACAAACAGAAAAAGTCACAGACAAATAAAAATGCTTAAAAACTGATAATTTGATTCATCATTATTATCTCTTTGGATTTCACGGGCTCGAAGGAGCCTAGTCCTTTGGAAGGTTTACGTGGGGAGAGATTCAAGTTTGTTTAATGTGACGCATCCGCCGGGCTCCATCTATTAGTAATCCATAGGAGGTTGTTCAAAGATGGCCTCCGGACAATGTGTACGGGTACTATGGAAAATATGGAAAACTAAAAGGGAGGGAGGGTTATGGAAATTGATGTACTACAAAATTGGGCTATCTACGGACGTCTACTTTCTCAACAGTCTCAGATTGAATATTTGTCGGACAGTAACTTGCCTCCCACTAAATGGGCCCACGCGAAGCGGCATAGTGCCTTAAGCTCTATATCGGCGTGGTCGGATAAGGGTGTCGAGAGGTGTACACCGATTTCACCATTTTTCAGATTGAGCACTTCCACCCTATCAAGCACATTGCTCTTGCGCTCCACTCTGGATGGCCAATAATCGCAAGCCAGAAGCGGCGGGCATATGTTATTTTTCCCGGGAAACGGGAGTGGTGTAACCACTCATCAACTACTCGCGAAAAGCTGCCCTGAGTCAGCTAATATACAGCGCTGGATTTACACTAGGGGCACTCGGTGCTAGTGCCCAGGGCGGCAAATTTTTAAGGGTGGCAAAATTCGGAGGGTGGGGAAAAATTGTCTTCGCGGTATCGAAAATGAGGAAAATTTTACTTTCCAAAAAATAAAAATTAACTACCTACTCCATTTTTCGGAAAAATTGAAATCATTTATAAATTATTTTTTTGTATTTTCCAAAAAAAATATAATTTAAAAAAAAACTTTATCGAAAATTTACCCATTTTATGCAAAATTTCTATAACAGGGCGGCATTTTTTACTATGCCCAGGCGCGGCGCTGTGGTTAAATCCGGCACTGCTAATATATTATTCACTCGTGAATATCAAAAAAACGCGCGGACCGAGTCGCAGACCATAGCTAGTACGAATTATAAGACGTTCATTAATACACATTCCATAGGCATTATGTATGAAAAGAAAGCGAAGTGGTAGGTATTAAAATAATTTTAAAATTAAAGGTTAATAATTATCTGATAACATAATAACATGAGTATCCTTATTAGATTTTTTGCACTATATTATCTTAGTTGAGTAGCAAAAATGGATTTGATCAGTCGTGTGAGTTGTCTGTTATGTGTTTGTGTTTTATTAATCTTTAATTTAGCATCGGTTATTTCTGCCTCTGAACCAATATGGAGGCAAAGGATTCGTGGTCCTGATGATTGTAAACCAGTTGTAGTTGCGCACCGGGGGGCAAGCGGGTATGTCCCGGAACATACGATTGGTGCTTATGCTATGGCAATTACCATGGGAGCTGACTATGTAGAACCCGATCTAGTGATGACACGCGACGGTATTCTTATATCAAGACATGAAAACGAATTAAGTCGTACTACCGACGTTGTTGAAAGGCCAGAATTCGCTGCAAAGCGTCGGACACAAAATATAGACAGAAGAAATATTACTGGCTGGTTTAGTGAGGATTTTACCTTAAGTGAAATAAAGACTTTAAGAGCCGTGGAAGCCGTACCTCGTATACGGCCAGGAAATGCAAGACTTAATAAAGCGTATGATATTCCAACTTTTCAGGAAATAATAGATCTAGTTAAAGCTCTAGAATTGAGTGAGAATCGCACGATTGGTATTTACCCAGAAATAAAATATGCAACACACTTTCAACGCCTTGGATTGGCAATGGAACCAAAAATAGTTGAAATATTCCATAAGAACGGATACATAGGGAAGAACGCACCTGTTTACATTCAGTCGTTTGAAGTAAATAATTTAAAAGAACTTAAAAAAATGACAAATCTTAGATTATTACAATTATTTGGAAATAAATTAGACATGCCAATTGACCAAGCAGAACTCGGCACTGGTTTAACCTTTGGTGATATGGCTACTCCTGCAGGATTAGCAAATGTAGCCAAATATGCTGCTGCAGTTGGACCTGACAAGGGATATATTATACCACGAACCCTAACAAATAAATTAGGTTCACCGACAACTTTTGTTAGAGACGCTCATGCTGTCGGCCTGCAGGTACATCCGTGGACATTTCGAGCTGAAAATTTTTACTTACCTATAGAATTCCAAAGTAGTAATGCAATTTACGAATTTGGAGACAGCGTTGGTGAAATTAAAGCATTTCTGGAAGCAGGAATAGATGGCTTATTCGTTGATCATCCTGATATACTAGTACGAGTACGAGGTCCGTGTTAGGATTAGCCACTGTGTACAATAAACCGTTAAAAGTGAAATATATAAATATCAATAAATAGATGTTTAATGGCGTAATGTTTCCTTTTAATTTATCTTTAACAGTTAAAAAAATATCTTATTTGTAGTTTTTTTATGTATATGTAAATAATTGTTTAAATAAAATTTACATATCTATTTCGTTAGGAATTAAAAAAATGTTTTATTTAATTTCTGAGTTTTCTCAATAAAAGTTTTGTTCTTCGAGCCGAGTCTACGACGATGTGACTTTAATAGAATTTTAGTTAGGAAAAAATAATTTTGCAAACTTATATATAGCGTACATAAAAACAGGCTTAATTAGATAATTATTAGACATTATTTTAAATGAATTACTTGTATTCTGATGATATTATTAGTATTGCGTAAGCGATTATTAATATTAGCAATGGGCTAATGCAGAATGCTGTAACTTATTTATAAAGTATAAAAATAACTATCGATATCTAATGTCGATATATATTACTTGAAACTTTATTTGAATATTTTATGCAAATGATATTTCATCATTTGCATATTCATTGAATAGGGATTCTCGTGGATTCAATTAACATACTTATAATGAATGAGGTGAAAGTGTTTAGAAATGATAATAATTAAGTACCTACTTAAAATAAGTACGAATATCTAACAATAAAGTTGCTTGTCGTTACTGCTGAAATTCTGACGTGCCGGTGTAGTGCTGAACGACTGAAGTTTTATAGTTCAATCCCAAAAGCGTGAAGAGCGATACTAAAATTGTAGACAATATTTTTGACAAAGTCAGCTGGAGAGGATAGGCTTTTAATACATAGTAAAACAGCATAAGGCAATTCATATATTACAACACAATTAACAATACACATGGGTATGTTAATGTTATTTATCACACTTGAATTATTATTTCGTCAATATTATCATTTAATAGTACTTCACTATAAGTTGACAAGACAAAATTTCAAATCTTTACGGACACTCACCAGTCAAGTCAATCACTCGAATATTGTATCTAGGAAAACCCAGGTAAGCTTAAACTAAATATAAATTAAAATTTATATTATATATTGATAAAATAAAATTATTATTGAACTGTAAAGAAACAGAACTGTCAATGTCTTGTTGTGTCACAGTCATGCTATTCACATCAAATCATGTTTGTCAAAATTAGTTCCCTGAAAGTAAATTGTTAGTGATTTTGTTGTTATTAAATTTCGTTTTCACAATTTAACAAAGAAAATAACTATTTACGAATTAATAACAAATAAGAAATTATGTGAAGAAACGAAATGTGGACATTAGCAGTTTAATACCTTCTTCAGACATGATACGGCAATCATTAAAATTCCGAAAGACTGTAACCATCGTTTGTGTTTTATCTTTGCGTGAGTACATAAAATATATTTTAATGTATTTTGGCTATATAAAGCTAACTATTATGACCATTTTTAAACCTGAAAACCATAAGCTTGGTGGCTTAGTCGATTTAAATAAATGTACATATAATTATACAAATTATTATTTTGCAGTTATCTTTATATTTCTTATTCTTAGGCAAGATAAAATAAATAATATTGATACTGGGAGACAACACCAAAGAGTCGACAATGATGTTCAAGATCTAGCCTACAGAGATTTTAAGCCAAAGAGAAATGATTATAGCCACAATCAAAATATTTTAAACAACATGGAGACTAATAAAGTTGATGATAATACAAAACAAGAACTTCAAGAAGCAAGAGCCCGCATTGACCAGCTAGAAAAGAAAATAGCTATTTTAGAAGGAAGAATACCACAAAAATATCCAGATGTGAAGTACCTTGGCTATAAAGAGAGAAAAAGAATATTGGTAAAATAACCTAATCTTTAAGTTTATTACAAAAAGTATTGTATTGTAATCTATACATAGAATAAAATTCTAACTCAACTGATATAATTAATATTTTTTGGAAAATCTTATGAAATATTTGTTATTACTGATACAGAGACTGAATGTATAGATTTTAGAATCATTTTCTGTCTGTCTGGGAATGTATCAAGAGAAAACAACTTTGGATGAAACCAAAGATTTGGATATGATGGTTGTTATTGTACTTTGTTGATGAACCCAAGCAGAGCGAGGGTGAATCGCTAATATATGATAAAAATAATTGAATGATCTCTCTTGATTGACTTTAAATTAATCTTATCCAAAATCTAATGAAAAGTTTAATTCTATTATTATTATTTTAGATAATAGTCTTCCTTTTTGCACAAACAGGTCACAGGAGGTGCTGGATTTGTTGGATCTCACCTTGTAGATATTCTGATGATACAAGGCCATGAAGTCATTGTTGTAGATAACTTCTTTACTGGTCGCAAGAGAAATGTTGAGCATTGGTTTGGCCATAGGAATTTTGAAATGATTCATCATGATATAGTTAACCCATTATACATAGAGGTATGACATAATTGTATTTTAGCTGCAATTGCAAAAACCCTTAGTTTCTTTATTAATCAAAGACATGTGATTTGCCATTTTAATAGTGTGTAATTTGTTATATTTTAAATACTGTAAAAAAATTTTTTTATAATTATAAATAAAAAAATTTTTTATATTAATATTTAATGTTATAATTTTTTTAGGCAGATGAAATTTACCACTTGGCTAGTCCAGCAAGCCCACCTCATTATATGCAAAACCCTGTTAAAACAATTAAAACAAATACCCTGGGAACAATAAATATGCTTGGTAAACATAACAAATACAAATTATAAGTTATATAGTTTATAATTTTGGAACATTTACAAAGTTCAATGGGTTTTACTCTGTTTTAAATATTCCATTATTTTAATTTTAGTTTTAATAATCTTTTGTAGTTTTTTAGGCAATAACTATTTATAAAATTTAAATTTTAAACATTCACATTTTTACAATTTTTTTAGTTAATTTTATTATGCATGGTTATTTATTGCTTATTGTTCTTTTAACTGCCTCGTGGTGTAGTGGCTAGCATGTACGGCTGCACACCCGGAGGTCCTGGGTGCAAGACCTGGGTCGGGCCAAGTTTAGTTATTGAGTCTTTCTGTATAGTAAGCCCGGAGTTGGGAAGTTGGCAGTGTTTCACCGCCGTGCCTCGGAGAGCACGTAAAGCCGTCGGTCCTGCGTCTTAACTCTCACTGGTCGTGTCGAGTGGTCGTGCCACCAGAGAATGAGAGTGACAGGAATAGAGAGTGCACGTTGTGTCTGCGCGTACACTTGTGCACTATAATATCTCCTGCGCAGTTGGCTAGTCACAATGAGATTGGCCGCCGTGGCCGGAATCGGTCAGGAGAACATTTTCATCATTGTTCTTTATTTTACTTTTTACACATTTATAAATTTATAAAGTTTACACATTTATAAAGTTTTTTTTTTCATACAATAGATATGTACTCGTAGTATAAGTTTCCGAACAGCTGTTTGTACTGCATGTTGAGTTAGCCTATAAGTACACCATGTATAGTGTAAAAAATATTCTATACGGAATTATGTATGAAAGATAGAAAATAGTGTATACTATGTTGGCTTCCTATATAATAAATAAAAAAAAGTTATATTAACCAAAATAATTGAACTTTGCTTCGAGATATTTAGTTAATTAAAATTAGTGTAGTAAACTTTTATTAGTGAAGTGTTCTTTGGGTAATTTTCTTTGTTTTAAGGATTGGCCAGAAGAGTTGGAGCAAAGATTTTGATAGCAAGTACATCAGAAGTGTATGGGGACCCTATGGTGCATCCCCAACCAGAATCATATTGGGGACATGTCAATCCAATAGGTTAGTGATTTTATGAATGATTAATTATTATTTGTCTATGGCCTCACCAACTTGTATTTCTTTCTACATTTTATCAACAATAAAGATAACCCCATTGTTTTTTATTAGTTCGGAAACCCCTTTTACGGGTTTTATGGGTGGGTTTTACGGGGAGTATGTAGGACTCCTGTCGCGAGGAGCACAAGAGAGTACCCACTAAAACCACCACGGTGATCCCTATTGCAAGAGACAGGGCCTCAGGGATCTCTTGCGCTTTCGACCGCGACACTGTCAGCGTTACCCGATGTCGGGCTGAAACTAGCAATTTAGACAAACCCCTCAAATTGTTCCCCTATAGCCAAACGAATCGACAGGACGATGTGCAGGGATCACTTTCAGCAGCACATCGTCCTCCCCCAATAAAGATAACCTCTACATAATATGCCAGCATATTTAATGACCTATGAGATGTATAAAACTTTAGTCTCTCCTATGACCATAATTGCTGTAAAGCATTCGAAACGTTGGAAACCAAAAATCAAAGTAAATCGGAAAAAATAGTTTTATTTATAGTGTCAAATATTCACGTAAATCTGAGAAAGTATTACACAATACTGAAATTATTGCTTCATATACTTGGCAGGACCACGTGCATGTTACGACGAAGGCAAGAGAGTAGCGGAAACATTGGCATATTCTTATGCTAAACAAGAAAATGTGTCAGTGCGAGTGGCGCGGATATTTAACACATATGGGCCAAGAATGCACATCTCCGATGGACGTGTCGTTTCGAACTTCGTCATGCAAGCTCTTCAGAACTTGACTATTACTGTGAGTTTTGCTTATATATACTTTTTTAATTCTTATACATTTTCCCCGATGTTACAATCAAAACCTTATCATCATGCTTGATTGGTTAAAGGTTAGTTTGTATAAATTATGTATTTTTGTATTAAATTGGTATTTGGACCATGTTATATTATAATAATATTGACTCTCGTTGGTTGTTGTCGTGAAGCATCAAAAACAGCGGTCTTATTATATATTTGTAGATTGGACTTTCTTATGAAATTAATAGAATTTTGGTCAAGATATAGACTCAATAACATATTTAAGTGCTCTTACAGTATGTGCGACATGAATTAATTTAAGTAATACTTATCCAATAAATGTTTAGTTCTTGTATTAATTTTTACGTTATTGCCAATAGGTGATTATTTTAAAATAATTTATTTATTTATTACATAGGTATTTATTTTACAAAATATGTATAAGTTATTATTATGTATATAGAACAAATGAAATACGTATATTTAATTAATCGTAGTTGATATTCCAAATTAAGTGCGTCTTTGAATGAGTGTGCACAAGTGTGCTTAGATTACTTTCCTATTTATAATAGTAACTAGCGACTCACCCTCGCTTCGCTCGGGTTCGTCCCTAGCTTGCTTCCCAATACAAACTTTTATCCCTATTTTCACTCCCTTAAGGGATGATTTCCGTGATAAAAAGTATCCTTTGTCTTTCCCAGGGTCTCAAAGTATTTTATTACCAAATTTCATCTAAATCGGTTCAGTAGTTCCAGAGATTACCCACTAAAACCTCACAAAATCACAAACTCACAAACTTTACCTCTTTATAATTTTATAAGTATAGATTAGTATAGTAGTTCAATAATAGTTAGTTGCCTATAGTTTGAAGTGCTTCTGATATATTCATGAGTACAGGTAATTCTTATCTAATGAAAATGAACTTGAAAATTGTTAATATTGTAATAAAATATACGATACTTTACAATGTACGATATATTATCACGATACTTTTATGTGTATTTCACGTTTTTTTTTTCACTATCAAAGAATTACTTAATTTACTTTTATTGCAAATAATGTATTGCAAAAACCAAATATGAATTTCCCTTGAATTGTTTGAAGATCATTAGTATATAATTAATAATATGCGAAACCTTGATGAGTTTGATTTTTCTTTACGTAAAAGTTTATTTATTTTTTTAAATATACATTTAGGATTCCGTTTCCAAAGGCTAAAAAGAAACTCTCACCACATCCGTCTGTACGCAAGTCACATCCATTTAACTCAGACTTTTAGACCTACATTGCTGAAATTTTGTATTTAAGTGACTTATGTGGCTTTTAGAAGGACATGTGAAGTCCGCCAACCCGCACTAGGCCAGCGTGGTGGACTATGACCTGACTTTAAAAAGGGCTGAATACATACGTTGGGTATTTCTTTAGTTATATCCCGTTTTACGCGTTTGGGCGTGAAATTCAAGCACCGATTTTCAGGAAATACAATTATGTTTATTAAATATGTTGGGACATTAATACACAACACAATCTGATTCCACGGTACCAAAGCTACGAGGCTCGTGTTATGGATACCAGATATTTGATACACTACACATATATAACTAGAACCCGCGATCGTTCGCACAGCAAGTAGGGTCACTACAAACTAAGCCAAACGTGTCGTCAAATTAAACTAACCAGACCACTAAATACAGGTCTACGGTAACGGCAAGCAGACGCGCTCCTTCTGCTACGTGTCGGACCTGGTGGACGGACTGCTGGCGCTCATGGCGTCCAGCTACACGTTGCCTGTCAACATTGGGAATCCCGTGGAACATACTATAGAAGGCAAGAAAAACAGTTTTAGAACTCTTCTACATACGTGTTTTATGATTACATTGTATTATACGTGTTTCTAGTATAAAAAATAAATACTGAGAGCCGTCAATTAATGAAATATGAATTCATCTCAATATATCAATAGGTACACCTTTAAGGAAAGAAGTTGTAACTTATTGTGTTACAATATGTTCCAATGTTTTTGTGGTATGCTTATTATTGACTTTATTGCTATCTTAAACTTGGAGGTTATTTATTTATTTTATTGGAAAGATACACCATCAAACAGTGCTAGATTTACACAAGGGGTACTCGGGCCTAGTGCCCAGGGCGGCAAATTTTTGGGGGATTTTCAAAGGTTAAAAAAAAAATCTTCGCGTTGTCGAAAATGATTTTTTTATTTTCCGAAAAATGTATAATAAATAAATTAACTATTTTTTTGCATTAATCAAAGATTGATTGAAAAATTAACTTTATCGAAACTTTATCGATATAATGCAAAATTTCGATAATGGGACAGCATTTCTTACATTGCTCAGGAACGGCGCTAAGGTTGAATCCGATACTGCCATCGACTATATATTGACACTGTAGTTCTTGTACAATTTACATTCAATTCGGTACGATTAGCCTTTACATGTGTATACATAGAATAGGTACTATATTATTCTATGTACGGCCCCTGTTTAGTTAATCCGTCCACGACCGCGGACACGCCGGCGTCAGTTAACAATAGATTTCTTAGAAATTTAATTAATTTCTTAGAAATTTAGTTGCAGGAGTTAAAACAAATGAGCTGTTCAAAATGTGCGAGGTCTGAGTAACTTTTGCAACATACTAATAATCACTGAAACTGCTTAAGAATCTCGAATAAAAGTCTATAACGCTCTTTGGTCCAAAAACAAAACTATGCAATAAAATACGTAAATCTGTGCTATGAAAGAAGAAACGAACAAACACATTAACTCACTTACATACATATGATACTAATAGTGATTGATATTATTATAAATTTTCAGAATTTGCTGTTATAATAAAGAATCTAGTCCCCGGATGTCGTAGTATGGTGGCCACAGGCGCGGCCGTCGAGGACGATCCTCAGAGGCGTAGACCAGACATTACCCTGGCAAAAACCCACCTCCACTGGTCACCTAAGGTACGTTATCTATATAAAATAACATTTTTATTTGTGGAAAATCGCAAATCAGGCCGTTGGAATGCTTGGAAAAGCAAGTTAAGCGGGTTCGAATGCAAGGCAATGAGACCTCATTTTCAGATATTTTCATGTGCGAATCATTTTGAACATGATTCACTCGCTTTACGGTGAAGGAAAATTTATTATGAGGAAACCTACATGTCTGAGAGAGCCTAGTAAGCTTTTGTAAGAAATGTGAACTGTGAAGTCCACCAACTCAAATTTGGCCAGCGTGGTGGACTATGGCCTCATCCAGGATACCGGGTTTTAATACTATCAACTTTATTATAACGCGCCACTAGATAGCGTTATAATGCAGTAGCATAAACATCGCCCAAGCGATCGCCCTTAAAATTTGTATTTGCTTTAAAAAATATTTTCTATATTATATGGCCTTTTTCAATGCTGGGAAATGCATTTATGCATACCACCTGCATCCATACAGGTTTTTATGTGGGACTCACCAGCTATAAAATCTAGTACTACCCACTCTCCCTCCCTTAATGGCGCGTTGTCGTTGTTTTGTGTTATTTTTACCCGACTGCGAAGAAAGGGTTATGTTTTTCGGGCCTGTCTTTGTATTTTTGTTTGTAATATTCTTTATCCCCTCGTATCTTCCAAACCAATCGATAGATTTCTTAATTAAGGTATCGTTAGATTGGTCTCATTAGTCCAAATATTCTTAATATAGATAGATAGGTGATATAAAAAAATATGGAGGCTGGTAGATACCATAATGTAAAAAAGAAAAAAATGAAAATCGACGAACTATGTCTAGTGGAGTATCGTTGAATAGTTATTTACAAATCATTTTTAGGTTTCTTTAATCATTTTTCATTTCAAATAACAGTTTACGATATATAATGATTCAAAGTTGGTTAACAACCATTCTCGCTAATTTTCCTACTTAAAAAGCTGTAAATAAATAAATATACTATAAAAATAAAAGACCCGACTGCATAACTAAAAAGATAAAACCAAGTTCACAATGGAATATAGTATTATGCAGTTGGAAACATACATACAAGTATTTACATCTTGCGGCAAGGACGAAATGTGTATCCACCCCCCCCCCCCCCCCCCCCAACGTGCGTTCACCTTGTCGTGGTGGGGGGGCTCAGTAGTGCCCGGCAATCCAACCGGGCGCGAAGCCAAGAAACGCACAGGGAGGTTGCCCACTTCGGTGGGCGGTGGGAGGTGGCCCTCTTCGGGGGGGCGGTGTACCTTGCGGGTTGCTCCTGGTACTTCTCTGATAGCAGAGTGGACTGTGGAGCAACCCCATGGTTGTGGTGGTCTGCTTCTGCGGACCTGCCGTCGGGGCGTCGTAGTTGAATGCGTAAGCGATCCTGCGACGCCCCATTAAGACGGGGGAAGGTTTTGTTGGGTTTTAGTGGGTAGTACTGGCTGTATTACGCCGGTGAGTCCCACACGTCGTGCGTAAATGCATTTCGAAAGGACGAAATGTGTATGTGAACACGTTCTCATCTTTTTAGTTAGCTATTACGCAGTCGGGTTTTTTATTTTTATCAGCTATCTGCCAGTGAAAGTCCCGTCGAAATTAGTCCAGCCGTTTCGGAGATTAACCGGAACAGACAGATAGAATTTTTTTTTATAAGTTCCATTTATATAATTTAATATGCATTTAGTAAAAAGCTATGATCTTGATATTACAAACAGACACTTCAATTTTATTTAACTGTTTAGATAAATATGGGCTAGGTTATATTAATGAAAAATATGAATAAGGAATTTTAATTTTTATTACATTGTTAGCTCTAAAAAAACGTTTTCACATTCATAGTCCACGACGTGTAATGCACACACTAATAATTATAATAACTGCAGATTTCATTTTTTACTTTATTTCAAATGTTATATGAAAATAATAATTAGATTTTTTATATTTCAGGTATCTTTACAAGACGGACTTCAAAGAACAATAGACTATTTTAGAGAAGAATTATCTAGAACGACATTCTACAATAACCAGACATACATAGACATTAAAGTGAAAAACTCTCATTGATAGCGATGACTGTTTATTCCTCTACAAATGTGATATTAGCATTATGTACCTACATCACCTAAAATATCAAACATTTTCAATTACTTCTTTTAAAAATCTCATAAACTATTGTGATGTTCATTGTAACTATAATAATATTGTATTAAATAGCTATTGGTAGGTTTAGAGCGAGAGTTTAATATTTGTAGACTTTTGTGGAATGGAAATATTTTTAACCCTTTTGACAAAGTTATATTTTAGGTAACATAGCACACAAGTTTTTTGTTTATATACTGACTAATGTCTGATTATTTCCATTACAGAGGGTCTCTTCAAACTGTGAATATTTATTTTAATCATAATAATTGTGCATTTTTTTGATTTTACTTGAAGTTAATGTCATTGAAAATGTGACAATTACTAAAGCACATTCAGCACATACATATGAGTGAATAGATCCTTATATGAGACTAGCAGATGTTTACAAATTTACATTTTTATTGTTTGCAATTACAATATAACAATATATAATTACAATACAACATTAATAATAAAGTGGTTGATACTTGAATATTTTTTTTAGTATATTGAATTAATTATGTTTGACAATGTTTTTTGTGTTCGAATTTCTAAATAAAATGTCATTGTTGTTAAATAATATTCTTTTTTATTTAATCTTTTATTTACAACATACACTTGGAAATGTATTCCAATTGTATTTATAAGATTTTCTAAAAAAAGTTTCAGTCTTACAAAGTTTAGTACCTTGTGAATATACTAATGTTCTGTACATCTGGAACATGTCACTTGGAGTTTGTTTATGACGAGCAAACATATTAGAATCACATCCTCTAGATTTCCATTCGGTGTCAAATCTTATATCATGAACTCTATTGATCCCATCCAATGCAGCAGTCCATACCCCCATGGAAACATCTTCAGAGTTGTAATGGCTATAAAAATATTTATTCTGTATTAAAAAATAAATGATGATTTTTTTATATTAATTTATAAGTTCAAATTTTTTCAGTCAATTTTATTTGCCTATCCAGTCATGTTTGTGAATCAGTGAATCATAATACAGACATGTAAATGTAGGGTGGACTCAATTTCCGCACTTAAACTCTAGGTTGGTCCTTTGTGCATTTTGAATCCTGGCTAATCTAGCCAGCCCAGGTCCGCCCAGCGCAATACAGACATTATTTTTAGAATCAGTTGGTTTCTTCAGTTTTTCACGACTTTAATAACATATTAAAAACAACTGTCATACCTTAATAAATCTGAATTTCTTGCTACATACTGCACAATGCTCTGTGATATTATATAGCTACCACCAAGAGCATAAGGCAAATAAGTATCACAAAGGAACCATTCTTTTTCCTGCCATTTTCCATTTAAATATACTTTTGCCCGTCCATCAAAGTATCCCCAATATAAGCCCTTATATGAAGGCAGGATTTTCTGCAAAAATCAAATCATGTATATTTCTTTGAAAAATCAGTTTTGATAGTTTTTAGTAAAATTTATTTTTTTATTGTTAATAATATCATTTTATTTATATTAAGTTTACCTTATAAGACACAAATTGACTTATAGATGGATCATTCATTTCTGGAGCAAAAGCTTCTAGGTCTCTTACAATCAAATCAATTCTGACAAAAGAATCATCATCGCATTTTACTACATATTTCATTTTTTTTAAATTGTCGTTTAGCCATTTTAAAGACAATATTAACTTTGAAGTCAAATTAATATAATTGTCTTCAAAATCTTCCAATATTAATATATCATTACTGTGACTAAATTCAGAAGTAATTTTTTTTAGACTTTGGTCATCTAAGCCTTTAGTACCTAATACAAAAAAACATTTAATAAGATCCTTCTTAATACTTTTTCCAGACCTTGTGTAGTTCCACTTGTAAAATCTTTCACCATTTTCTACCAATATATTATTAATAAAATTAGCCCAAGTAGCTCGGATAGCATCTCGTTTTAGTTCGTTCCCTGGACTACTTAGAATAAGGACAGCATATTCCACCGTATCAAACGTATTGGAAGTTCCTTTATCATTACTACGAACTGACTGTGCTGATGCACATTCCATTTTAGTAAAGTTCAAAGTTATACAGCAACCCAAATAGAAAAAGAAAATACTAGCAAGTATCATACTTCTATATCGTTTCAGAAATATAAAAACCATGTTAATCCGTCATAGCAAAATTATTTAATTTAGTATATATTTATGCATAACTATGTAATTATTATAGACTCAAGAGTCATATCACCGATATCACAAACTGGGACCCATGATTTTGTTTTATTTTATTTTTATCAAATTAGTTTTTAATTTAATTATTATCCATTCAATAACCATATCCAATAACCATGTATCATTGACTCTAAATTAAAATTTGAAAATTCTAATTTCTAATGTCTTCCTGCTTCAATGACGGTTGACGGAAGACCATTGACCAGTGACCACAGAGATGAGAGAGTGATGCCAATTGCAAGATTACGATTTCCCATAATCCCCAAATCTTAACCGAAACCTCCCCAAAACTGAGGTTTTAAAGAAAAAAAACCCACAAAATGTAAAATATTTATTTATTAATTAAATACAATTTTGTATTATTTCAGCAATAGCTTCCTTTACTGGGTCAACATCTTCACATGCGTCGTCTGCAGTTCCGTCCATTTTTTAAGAGTTAAATCTGCTTAGCATCTTTCAGCTTGGTTTAAAATCAATACATCCATCTAGCACTGTATATCTTATTTTCAAAATGAATTCGATAGTGTGGATAGCTAATCTATTTCGTAATTTGTCTTTGATAATAGCTATTTGAGAGAATGCTCTCATAACAATTTCGTTAGATAATAGTAATGACGAAATAGCCAATGCCAATTTGCTTACATTACCATTTGTTCTGTATAGTTATTGATTTGATTGGGTTCAGTTAATATATTTATGGTTGAACTGTACAATCTATGACATCGATTTAAGGGAGGAGAGAGGGTGGGGAGGAGTGGAGGGGTGAGAGGGACTCCCCTTTAAAAGGAAAAAACGCGGAGGCTAATAGTTTTCGAGTTATTTAATTTATAAAATGGCTCAGCTCTTGAAACGACATCCCTTAGTAGACTCTTGATTTTTTTATGTGCAAAGTACTTATTATATTGAGTAATCCCACAAAGTTTTAAGTGACAGAAACAAATACTTTCGAAGATAAAAAATATCATAGTTTGATAAATATATACTCAATTCTGCACTATTTTATTGTTTTTGACGTAATTTGGCAGAAGTGTAGATATTTTAGGGAGTTTTAATTATGTGTTTTGATTTTGCAAGACAGAAGTGTTGCCATTATAGAGAGTTTTAATTACGCGTTTTAATTTTGCAAATAATAAGTTGACGCGTATTTTAATTTTTATTTGAAAATTCTCAATATTTTATTTGGTTTAAACAATTTCACAGTTATTTCAGATTTTTTTGGGTCAATAATAACGGAAATTTTGATTTTGTGTAAATCTAAAATTATTTTAGTTTATTTTAGTTACTTATCTAAAAGGCCTTTTTAATATAAATAAATGATTGATCATTATCACAAATATGTGATAGCAATAATATTTGCTCTTTACATTAAGTCATTAATTTTGACAAGTTAGATAAGAAGTTTGTGGTTAGGTTACAACTTAGGTAATTGTCGTCTAGATCTTGATTAGGTTAGGTTAGAATAGTTAAAACAATAAACTCTAAATTTCATGCAAAATCGAAGTAAACACTCGACATAACATAACCTCATAATGATTTTTTTTTAAATTCAAAAAAAATAACTTTTCCGCCACATTTCCTTTACGGGGGGGAGGGAGGTGATCTACACCACCCTCCCCACCACTCTACCCCCCAAATATATAGATTTAAGGGAAGGTGGATTCAAGAGTCCTTCCTATAAAATTTTAGTTTTTGAGGTTAAATTATTGTGAAAACAACTTTAAATGTTTCACTTAAGGTTCAATTTAAATTGTTTTATATTTCAACTAGAATAATTACCTAAACACAATTGGTGACAGTTTTAAGACAGCTTTTGCATGTATAATAATAGGTACCGGAAAAAGTGGCTACAGTAGTACGGATTATGAAAAAAGTTCTATAAGTTCTAGTCGTTCTGGCACTCACCGGCCGCTACTGCGGCACGCTCGCTTCGCTCGCTCGGCTCGTGCGTTGTGATGTGGACTGTGGTCACTGTTCTAGCCTAGAAAGAAAGGTTTCTGCCAAAAAAATAACCTAAACCTATTTTGATAAAGCTATCCTGCGTGGAAATAAAAAACAATTGCAACTGACAGTCTGCTGTCTGACACTAAAACTGACATTTCAAATTTTCGTCGCTTTTCATATTTAGCTAATTCTGACATTGACATATCACATAACCAATATACTATGTACCAGTTTATATTTGTTATTACGTACAAAGAAATCAAGATTTAACTATTAAATTATGTATTTAACTACAATAATAATTGAAAATAACTCAGAACATAGGATATTGTAACTTTCTTTGTAAAAAAACCGATAAGTGTGTGTATAAATGTGGTGAAATTACATACAAAGGTGAAACGTGAAAAAAATTTTTTGACAGACCTATTTCTTTCCGCGGTCTCAAACTTTATATATAGGCTTCTAATAGAGAGCTCTATTAATGAAAAAAATATGAAAATTCAACTCGACGTCATAGATTGTACAGTTGAGCCATATTTTTAATCATCACGGCTTTTCTCAGATCACAAAGTTCGGTAATAAAAATCCCCGGATCCTCTCCAAATATTCCCCTTAACTATAAGAATACCCCCAAATTTGGGAGGGATTCTCTCCAATCTGGCATCAGTGACCATACATGATTAAGAAAAATCACGGTATGTCAAAGTCATTAACAGTTAACATTATATAAAAGAATATTATACATCCGTACAACTGAAAATTGTGTTTCCCATTAAAGAAAAAAAATTGTAAAAAATTATTTTAGCAGTTGAGCCTTTAGAGGAATATAATTATATATCGTATAACATAATATTATCTAATACACTTACGTAAGAATCACTAATAAGAGTTACTTATTCATGTATGTGAAGATTTCACTTCTTTTAAAGTTTTCTTTTTTTTCTTTAATATAGATGAAGGACTCTGGTCAGGAAAATGACTTTAGATTGAATTCGATGAGTAATTCTGCTTTCATTAAAATGGAGCATTTATTAGTACCGTCAAGTATTCTCGAAAAAGGAGAAAGAGCTTGTCCCGAACGGGACATTTAGTTTTGGGGTGAAAATCGGGACGTCCCGAAAAATCAGGATGTCAGGCAACGCTGCGTTTAATAATAATAATAATAGCTTTTATTCAGACAGTATTTCCTTTAAATTTTATCTTAATTACATATTGGTTACACTTTTAGTTTTAACACTGTAGAATAAGTTATAACACTGAATGCAAATGCATGCTGCTACGTGATCTTAAAAGGAATTTGCTCCTACTGTCGCTTTCAACTCACCATTATCGTCTTACTCCACTGATAAAAATTTCCAGAACGGAAGTTATTAAACCAAATACGCACCGCTCGTCCATTTGGTGTATCTTCCTTGTAGTCATTGATGTTGTGCGTAGTGTGCATTGGTGCCAAGATAGAATGCTATGCGAAAATACCATAAAATATTATTTTTTTCATTATCACTTTAACAGCTAAATCAAAAATGTATTGAAAAACTGACTTATAAAGAGAAATTTCATTACTATATTATCGTTTAATTTGGGTTTCCCAATCAATATTTTGATATGAAACTTATTTAAGAGAGAGAGAGAGAGAGAGAGGAAAAAAAGGATCGGTATTTGTAAATTGTAACTTAAACGGTTGTTACGGAAGTGTATAAATTTTCAATTAAATATTATTTAAACCATTATGTATTTTTCATATGTATGTAAATGAGCGATGGAATCATGTTAATTGAATATTGCTGAAAAAATATTTAGTTTAAAATCATTTTTTTTCCACTTTTTTCACCAAAAAAATTGCATTATTATTAATTATTTGTATTATTAGAATATATAATTTATTGAATCATTACTTTAAACATTATTGATTGAAAATTAAATTTTATCTTAGCACCATCTGTATGAATAAATTACGTGAATAACAAAATAATTATTGTTTTATTTTGTAAATTAAAAAAAAATTTAGTATCTTTCTTGTCCGAATTACTTAAAACATAACTTGAATTTTATAAAAAGTACTAATGATCTACTGAAGATTTACTTCTTGCGCGTGTTCACACTGATATTCGGTCTTTTTTTATTATAATATATAACCCCTCAACTGTCGCTGTCATTTTACAAAAATATGGCGCATCTGTCGGCTACTTTTCGAGGGCCTGCGCGAAATATGTACGCATCATTAAAATAACAATATTTATTAAAATTTTATATATAAGCTATATATAAAGCTTATATCGTTAGAATCGTTTTAAAATAAACTAAGAATATATATATAAATAAGATCAATTGTATTTAATATTATATAGTTAATTCTAAGTTGAAATTACTGTAAGTGATTTTTTATCAGTATATAGTATGAAAACAGGAATTATTATAAAATAAAACTATTATTTTAAAAACTTTTAATTTCATTTAATTATAGGTACAATATTTTATATTAATTGATTAAAACAACACAACTCACTGTACATTATTTTTACACCACAAGCTTAACAATAACATGTTTCAATTATGGCGACTTAGCGCCAGATAAAAAAAGAGGTGTTTTTTATACTTGAATTCTAAGAGCATTGAAGATCAAGAGATTTAGGATAATCATTTATATTATAGTTTAGTCCACGTACGTTATACTGACAAAGTTTGAGTTCTTATAACTATTTAGTTTACGAGAATTGAACAATAAACCAAACACTAGAAAATAAGTGCTAAAAAATGTCATCTCAAACTTTGGATCGCAGAGCAAATTTTGTTTAAATTTTCTTTAAAATATATTTACACCTTACAATTAAGTGATATTTCAAAATGAAAAATATAATAAAAAGACATGTTGCCTTATTAGAATATTTCAGAAATCAATTCTGTAAACTAACAATTTTACTATAAGAATTACAAGGGACAGCTAAAAAAGTATGGATACGACCAATTCCATCACATCTGAACAGATTATGTTATGGAAATAAAATGATAATAAAACATCAATTCAAAATAAAACAACTTTAAATATTAATTCGGAGAGGAATTATTTTTTTTCTACTGATTTTAACCTCCGACGCAAAAACTACGGGGAGTTATTTGTTTGACGTGCTGTGTGTTGTGTGTCTGTCTGTGGTATGGTAGCTCCCGAAGAGATCATCCGATTTTGTTTTTGTTTTTTCTCTGAAAGGTGAATAATTCGGAAGTGTTCTTAGCTATGTTTGATGAAAATCGGTCCAAGATGGCCGCCGCCACAAAATAGCGGATTACGTATTTTTTCACAACTCCCTCAATATGGGTATCAAATGATTGATATGAGTGATTGATATCAAATGATTGATGAGAGTGAGTAATGAGATAGGTATCAAATGATGATGAATTAGGCTTGACTAGTATAATTTTCGAATCCAAGATGGTCGCCACCACAAAATGGTGAATTACATGTCGGGGTTACTTTTAAATTTTTCATTTATATTTTATAAGATTGAAGTATTGTGCCAGTTACTGTATTGAGTATTTGATGGACTCCATAGTTATAGTAGTAAAAAAATATATAGTAGAGTATAAAAACTTTGTAATTAGTACTCACAGATGTTTTAAATCTGAAGTAGAAAATTTTGAATGCCTTTTGTTAGGTAAAGGACACTTTTTAATGAATATTGCTTGCAGGTAGAGGCTTTTATACATATTTATTTTAAATGAAAAAAAAAAGATGAACACCTATTCTAAAAGCAACAAATACTAATTATTACTAAGATACATAAGTAACTATACTAACCTCCTCCCATATAATGTTCACCACGTCTTCGATGTTCAGTCACGTCGTCGAAACAAACAAAGGCGTGGTATAATATATAAATCAGATATTTTCGAAGTCAGTTCCAGCCGATGCAAAGTAAATCTAATATATTTCGATACATAAAATTCATATTTACGTATTAGATATTTATATCTTAAAATATTGTCGGCTGGCACCGACTTCGAAAATATCTGATTAGGTATCTATTCTAAATGAAAACCTCCGTTTAGCTATTTTTTACATTTTAGTGCCTGGAAGTCGGTTTTTTTTTAATAAACAGTTATTTATACTACACCCTTGTTCGCTTTCGCTCTATGGGGTACATTGCCTACAATTGGTCTTTCTTGTTCACCCTCCGATCATAATATTGTAATCTAATAAGGCATGTTTTAAGCAATTTTGGTGCAGCTTCAATAAACATAAAATGCAACATGATACTAGTTTAAGAGATGCAAATAAACTTATTTTTTACCCGACTGCGCGACGCAAAGGAGGGTAATGTGTTTATCAGTCTATGTATGTATGTATGTACATATGTATGTATGACACTCTAGAGATCAAACGCGTGGGCCGATTTCTATGATTCATATGTCGTTAGTTTCGTATTTACGCGAGTGTTATAAGCTATATATAGCCTATAATACTCGCGTTATAGTTAAAAATTAAAAATAGTTAAAAAGTAAAATGGCGGATATCAGGCGCCAATTTGTCTGTAAAAAATTTTCCAAATCAATCGAATGGGCTCTTAAAATAAAGATTTTTGGTGATCACAAAAAAAAAATTAAGAGAACACAACTTACATGTTTAAAGGTAATTTGGGATAAGAAATAGCTAAATATTAAGTCTTTACCTATGAAATTGTCGTTTAATATACAGAAAGTTAAAGTATTGTATTTTTATAAATATTTTTCATTTCTATTATTGTATATTGGACTCGTTTTCCGCACTTAGACTCGCATTTGGTCCGTTGTACGTTTTCATTTCTATTAATCAAAATATGCACCCATGCTATTGATGCAATTTGATGCAAATGGACCAATATTGTTTTGATGCTAACGTTGAAAGCTGCTGCTATCTTAGCCACAGATTGAGTATCGTCAGCTTCCACTATCGCCTTTAATGCGTCGTTACTGATTTTAGTTTTCGGGCGACCACGGGGTTAATTTTTTAAGATCAAAATTTCGATGTTGGAAGTGTTCAGACCAATAACGAGTTGTGCGTTCGTTTGTAGTGTTCACTCGGCACTCCGTACGCGTCATTAATGTTGCGAGCCGTTTGTGCGGGATTGCTACCGCGATGGAACTCGTATTTCATAATTACTCGTATTTTTATTGTGTTTATATTGATGAAAAACAAACAAATGTAGTGAAAACAAAACACTAATTAATAAACAAACGACTGAATTCAAAAATAGAACTCCATACTTTTAAAATAAAATTCATTTGAATTTAGAATTTATTGCCGGCCAATCATAAATTACGTTTCCAATGGCCAGTAAGTATTGTAGAACGGCAATTTCAAAAGACCTATTATAACTTCAAATTTCTAATAAAATTAAAAAGCTGTAAATAAAAAAATACATTTCATCCTTTTCGCGAGATGTACATGTGTATGTCACCAACTGCATAATACTTCATTCCTTCGTCAACTTGTTTTTATCTTTTTAGTTAGCTGTTATGCAGTTAGGTTTTTTATTTTTATAATGTTTTAAAGTAATGTGTAAGTTGAACTTATATCTGTAAAATAAAAATCGTACTGTTTTAAAAAAAATTATTATTTTTTTTAGAAAAACAGTTAAAATATTTATAAAATATTAAATTTCAAATAATCCTAAAAACATCAATGAAAATATTCTAATGAATATTAAAAAAGCCTTCCCCATACTATCCAACAGCCGTCAAAAATGGCGGCTCGAATTTGGGTTACGTGTTATTATATTATTAATTACTTAAAATCTAATAGAAAATTTACAAATTCAATTATACGTAGTTATTTAGTTATAAATTTAAATCATGTTAATAAAAATATTATGCTATCACTAGTGTATTTTTTATTCAGAAAAAGTGAAAATATAAGGACTAAGCGCGCGTGAATGCTTACGATGTTTGACAAATATAACAATTTCTGTATAAAATCTCTATTCAATACACATCCTATGAAATAAAAACTGTTAATTACTTACCCTTCCATCATATTCCAATCCTTATACTAATAATTTTACACTATTTTGTTAATTTTTTACTCACAAGTATTGAGTTCAAAGACCGCCAAAATTTAAATAAATTGTCTGCACAAATTACAATAATTTATGTTATTGGAGTTATTACTTTTTTGACATGTAGTATGATATTATTGCTTGTATTTTTCTTTACACGTTACAAAAGTTAGATAAAAATAAATATAGTTTAAATGCGAGAAATCACACATTAAATGACATCGGGACCAATCGACCTTTAAAAGGTCGCTTGACAGACAGGGGTGTTTTTGACATCGACCTTTAAAAGGTCGATCGACAGACGAGGTAATATATTTATTATAATATTTTTTTTAATTAAGCTAATAATTATTTAGAGAAAAATATGTAAATTTTGTTCATAGCCTGATCAATTTTCAAAATTTATTTGTTCTTAAATCTTTATGGCACATCTTAGTACTCTACAGTAACTTCCTTATTTTTCTATTCATGGTTGTCACTCCACACATAGTTTAATTTTTTTATCTGTGGCTCTTGACAGTGAAATTTATTTCAAAAATATTAATAAGATTTTTTTATGTCACTGTAAGACGTAAGTCACTTTAGTTGCAATTTTTATGTAGTGGTGGTTAGGTTATTTAAGCGGTGCAATTTTTTTCGTTTTATTAAAATATATTATATTAAAATCAAGTTACTTAAGAAACTCTTTTTATCCAAAGATTACTGTAACTTAAACACAGTCGAATATCTGTTAATTTATATTTAAAAACAAGTTTTTAAGGGTAGTAATAAAAAATTGGCACGAAATTGTAGCAAACAATATATTTCAAGTGGCATCATGCAAATGTTTGTTAAATTCTAAAATTACTCATGGTGTATAGACATCAACTTAAAAGGTATTTAATTATGATCTAATCATAGTTTAATATTATGTATTACCTTGTAAATATTTGTTTTAAAACACGCAATTTTTATATACCCGCTAAGTGTAAGTTTTAGGAGTGTTTTAATATATTATTTGAATAACGTCATACATGATTTTTTCATCAATGTTTTCTCTAGAATAAATGGAGTCTACGAAGAAAAAAGGACGTCCACAACATCCAAGGGCCAAGGCTAACCCATTGTCTGCATTGACTTTTGCGTAAGATTATTATTTGTCTATTATATTACATGGCCTATTATATAGATAGAATATCTTTATATAAATATAAATCAATACAAGGAGTATAATATGAAATTCAAAATTAATATAGTTTCCTTGACAACAACAATCTAGTAATAAGAAATTATTACTTTTTAAAATAGGTACCTATATTGTTTTAAAACATTGTTCTTCTCCGGACATAAGTTGTTATAGAACTTGTTATTTCAGATGGACTCTACCAATATTTTGGAGTGGCTTGAAAAATGAATTAGAAGAATGTGAATTATATGAACCCTTAGAAGAACATGCCTCAGGTAATGATATTTATATAACTTTTTGAAAAGGACAACCCTGCATGAATATTTGTGTATTTAAAATTTAATAATATACATATATAAAGGTATTGCTGTAAAATTACCATTTATAGCCATTTAATACGCAGTACAATTAGATACTTGTATATTGTAATGTAATGTAAAGTGGACTCGTTTTCCGCACTTAGACTCTCTTCTGGTCCGTTGTGCGTGGATACTTGTATATTTTGAAGATCTTAAAAATAGCACAGCTTATATAAAAATAATCTAGTACATTTAATACTTTCTTACATTTACGTGAATATTTGACATTTTAAATAAAACTATCTTTTCGGATTATTACATAGGTTTATTTTTAATTTTTGGTTCCCGAACTTTCAAATGCTTTACAGTTTACAGCAATAATGCCCATGGGAGAGAGTAAGGTTTGAGAAGTCTCTAAGGTGTTATATACTTGTTACAGACTGCCTACCCACAACAATGATTTCAAAAATCAATTTTACAAAAATGATTCCATAAATTCAAAAATGCACTAAAGTACCCTACAATATTTGTTTATTTTAATCTAAACATTTAAATTTTGTAATAAGTATTATAATTAAATGTAACAATACTATTTATTTAATTTTAGCTGTTACAATTTTTTTTTAACTTTTATTTAATATTCCAATTATTATATTATATATAATCATAAAGAATATAAAAAATTAAAAAAATATTAATTATTTATTTAAGCAATATTATTATTGTTTTATATGTGATTTAAAAAAGTTAAAATATTAATTTAGATTGCTATTATTGAAAGTTAAAATATTAAGCAACACTATTGCTACCTTTATAGACAAAAAATATTAATCAGAATTACTGTTAGGAAGCAAAAATCAATATAAATCCATGAAATAATCTGAAAAGATAGTTTTATTTAACATCTAGTACATTTTTGATAATTATAAAATTTTAAACTAGTTTGAATTTTTTTTTAGTAATTTAAATATTCTAGTAAATTGCACTAAATTCTTATCAATAAATGTTCCAAAACATAATGTACATTGTACAATGTATTCTTAGGCAAATAATGTTGAGTATGTCTCTGTGAGTTTTAATCCATTATTGAATATTGTGTTGATAGATGATAGTAATAAAAATCAACAAATAAATATTTGCAATATTTGTGAGCTTATCATGAATTGGAAAGAATAAGAGTTTTTAAGATTTCTTGGAGACACAGAAGTGATTCATGTTTCTTATTTATTATTATCTATATGTTATAGGGATGTATCCCAAATTTTATATTATGTCTCTCTCTAACCTTATAATGCAAAAACCTATGGATCAACCTAAAATTATGTATACACATTCAAAATTGAAATATATTATACAACTATCCTTTAGTTTCGTGTAGGTCAATTTGAAGCTATCACAGGCTATTACAGCTCAGGTTCCTGTTTTGGGTATCAAATAACAGCATAAAAAAATAAAAATACAACATAACATATAATATCCAGTCATGGGAGTGTTTATATCAACTGTCTGTTCTCCGTATTGCCGGCCTCGTAGCTTACAATGGGACTAGATGGCACTATGTATTAATGTCCCAACATATTTATCTATAATATTATAAAGAGGTGAAGTTTGTGAGTTTGTGACGTTGTAGGGGGTAATCTCTGGATCTACTGAACCGTTTTAGATGAAATTTAGTAAGAAGAGACCCTGGGAAGGACATAGGATCGACTTTTTATCCCGGAAGTCATCCCTTAAGTGAGTGAAAATGCGGGTGAAAGTTTGTAATGGAAAGCAAACTAGGGACGAACCCGAGCGAAGCGAGGGTGAGTCGCTAGTTCTTTATAATATCAGAAAGGGTAGCAGAGAGGTTGAAGTACTCAATACATTATATGTATTATTGCGTCAGAACTCAAATCCAGATTCATTACCATCACATTTTGTTAACAATGCTGAATGTTTTGTATGATTTAATTAAATGATGACAACTATGAGTGACCATTGCATTATCTGCATGATTAAAAACGCCCACTTACTTACACAGTGTTGTTCAGTTCATTTGTATCTGAACCTTGATGTTTCTATGAAATGTATATTGCACAATCCACATTCTTTAATAGTAGTTTCAGGTAAATGGTGCTAATAAATAATAACATGAGTCACTTCTCTCAGCGATATACATACCTACATATGTATGTTACTCATAATATAATTATCTTATTACGGCATGCTTAAGAGCAAACAATATACAAATATTTAACACAATTAGACCAGGGCTGAAGCCTTTGAAAATGATAAAAAGTGAAAAATGAAAATAAATAATAGTACGACAAAACCTATTAGAAAAGGAAGAGAACGTAACAAAAATGAAAGGAAAAATAATTTACGGGCGAGATCAGGTCGGGTAGTGGGAGGTGGTGAGTTAGTTTTTAAGGGTAAAAAACGGTTTATCTCGATTTTCGGCAAAACTACAAGTCCTATGGAAAAAAGTTAAACGGAAAAGTTGTAGGTAATCAAAAGATCTACAACTTTTGTATTCACACTTTTTTCACATAACCTCAAAATTTATGTGAAAAATTCAAATAACCAAGTTTTTGGTTTTTTATTTTTATCTTTTACAAAAAATAAACTTTTCACGAAATTTAGTGAAAACTTATCTTATTTTATTATGTCCCAAACATACTGTAATTTTTTTATTTAAAATATTTATTTTTTCACCTTATTTTGATTTAATATCGAAAAAGCGCCCTAATTTTCAATCGAAAATTCTCGCGTCAAAATATCTGCCCTTTTAAAAAAGTCGGTAGGCTTTTTGTTCGTTGAAATTTATAACCTAATCTTTATATATATAATTCTTCTGTGAGTGTGTATGTCACTGAACTTCTCTCAAACGACTGGACCGATTTTGATGAAATTTTTTGTGTGTGTTCAAGGGGATCTAGGAATGGTTTAGATTCACAATTTGAATAATAATTTTCATCAAAAAAATTATTAAAAAAAGTTTGAAATTTTCAAATTAAAGACGTGTAGACAGGACAACGTCTGTCGGGTCCGCTAGTCTTATTATATTATAATATTGTGTCATATATTACTTACGATTTTGTCATATTACATCCATACTAATATTATAAATGTCAAAGTGTGTTTGTTTGTTTGTTTGCTTGTTTGTCCTTATTTCACGTCGAAACGGAATTATGTATTGGCGTGATTTTATGTATGGAGATACTTAGAGGGCTGGAGAGTGACATAGGCTTATTTTTTATCATGGGAGATTATCTCTTTCCCACGGAAGAACACGTTATAATACAACCCAAAAAAATATTTGTGACCAGAATTACTTGAAACTTGGTATTAATCGGGGTATGAAATTATCAAGATAAATATATCTTTTGATAACTATCGCGATAATTATCAAGATAATTATCAGATAATTATCAAACAGATATAATCTTAGCAATCCTTTTGTAGGTATTGGTATTTGACTATTAACCTACCATAATTTACGTTAGATAAACTATACACCTTTAACAATCAAGGTAATCTTTTATTAGTATTTTTTTTCATTGTTTTGACATATACAAACTTGGAAATAAAAACAGAATAAATTTAATCATCTATATAGACACTATTTAATTAAATTTAAGGTCTCTGCCCACTACACCGTCTCATTACTCATACCATGACATTGCTAGGACCGTGTCAGGCAAAAAATATTCTTTGTATTGAAAAATATGAGACTATGGCCACTAGACCGTTCCGTCACCGACCAATACCGTCGCGTGCCGTACATGGAAAGTTAACAATAATTGTCGGCAAGAATATATTTCCGGTGCCGATACGCTCCGTCCTGGCACGCGACGTTGCCGAACCGGTGAGCGCCGACGGCGAAACGGTGAGCACACGGGTTATAACTGCGTATGATGACCGTTTTAAGCCAGTTATAAACGTGATGTTGCTTGTCTTCTAGTGATAATATTTTCTTTTAATTTTTTTTTAAACGGCTTGAACCTAGTAACGTCGTGATTGACTGATGTTATTCTCTTTCTTCCTTGTCTAAAACAATGGCTATCATTGTTAATTCTCTGTCGGACAAGTTTATAATAGCCATCGTATAGGTATAGGAAATAATTTTCGTAACAAAAATATTCCCACTTTCTGACGCGGCTGCCTCACGCGAATACACAGGTGAACTACTACGACTGAGAAAACTTTAACTATGTATACGGATATGACACGCGGATGATACGCGGCAGATACGTTCTAGTAGGCAACACGGACTACTATCAGTCCGTGTCGCTTGTTTCAGGGAATGAAACGTTCATAGCACGGTCATGGTATGAGACGGTGTAGTGGGCAGACTCATTATTGATTGGAATATCATCCTCATCCTCCTCAACTGCATTAACTCAGTTTACTGATTGAGCAGAATTGATTTTTTGAGCTGATTGAGAGAGTTCAATTAGCTGACCGACAATTTGTTTGACTGAGTTACAAATTAAATATGTATTTTCAATTATATTTATCAAAGATAATTATTAACCCGTATTATGATAATTATCGTTTCGAACCCTGGCTATTAATGCTCTTCAATACAATTAAATAAATACGTGTTTAAGCATTTTTCGAAATTTATCCCATAAGGGATGAAAGTTTGTATGAAACCTACCTTTTTCGAGTTTTTTTGTAGTGCGCGAGCGTAGCCGCGGGTTCTGCTAGTAATATATATTTAAGTGCACTTGACTGATTTGAGAAATAGATTTAAACAAATGTTATATAAAGATATGTATTGAATTGTACAAGGTCCCCTTGGAGATAAGTTTGCTCGTCTGTGGGAGGAGGAAGTCGCTAGCGCCGAAGGAAAGCGAACGCCGAGCCTCCTCAGAGTGATCCTCAGAGCGTACGCCGCAAGATGTATGCTGTATGGTTTTGTACTATTTTTGATGGAATGTGGAATTCGGTGAGTACTAGTTCTTTAATATTATTCTAAAAATTTGCTTTTAAAATCATAAGTTTGTATTTTCTCTTTAAAAAAATAAATCTAAATGAAAACTCAATAGAATGGATTAATTTTTGTTCTCTATTAATATACCTAATTACTTATATTTTAATTATTTTAAGGTAAATGCAATACGTGTTAATATTATTTAAATTTATTGCACAAATTCCTATTACGATCTATACTTCTTTAGTATACACTATACAGCATATACAAATACTTCTCGCTAGTGTACAATGTGTATAAATAATGTTTGTTACAACTTTTCTTAGAGCCATTTAAAATAAAACTCTGCCAAAGATTAGATAACTGTGTCAATTTTAAAGCTTAAGTGCATCTTACGTGTCTAGTGCTAACCTGTGTAAGCGACATTGATTTATAAAAGACTACATTCTTGCAACCACTTATGACTCGCGTTACATGGCAATGTAGAACATTACGTAGGCTTCCAGTATATTTGATTACACTCAACCATTTCAAATGATAATTTAAAAAATACGCGCAATGAAGGATGATTGGAAATGGGATAAAAATTAAAAGCTTTCACCTTACACTTTATAAAAGTATTTTTAACGAATATGCAACAACGAACTCTATACTGTTGATAAATTATTATTATTATATGTACAGTTTTTATGAAACAATTTTTTATCACCGTCTTAAAATTGACGGTACTGTTCTCATCATTTTTTCGTATTAATAATACTTTGCAAGTATGTCTCTAAGCTTGTATTAGAATTTGTAACTTAAATAATAGTATAGGTAATTAAAGCATAACTATTTAGTTCTTTTTCTATGTGCCACACGTTTCTTTTCTAAGATTACCATGGTTACGACTTCCAGCGAATTTCAGACTTTTTGAAGTTTCTTTACTTTTAAAATGATGAGCTTGATGTTGAGGTTTTGCCAACGAAAATAATGAAGTCCCCCAAATAATAATCAGTCAGCAAACAATATCATATTAGTAAATCTAGAATTAGTTTCATAAATCAAATTTAATTTATTTTTGGCAAACAGTAAAATACATTCTAGCTTGCTAATTAGCTTTATTTATAAAGCAATAATAATTGATTGTAAAATACTATAAATAAATGTAATAATACAAACAAAAGGTTTCTGCCAAACAAAACGGACCTAACGAGAAGGCTTCGCTAAGCTGTTACCTTCTCAGTTCTCACTTAACATGATCCGAATCGGACCTGCCTAAAACGTAAATGTCGAGCTAGTTGATACTTTTTTCCTTCTAATTACTACTATAACCTTACTTTTTTTTAACGTTGGGAAATGCATTTACGCACGACGTGTGGGACTCACCGGCGTAATACAGCCACTAAAACCCAACAAAACCTTCCCCCGTCTTAATGAGGCGTCGCAGGATCACTTACGCATTCAACTACGACGCCACGACGGCAGGTCTGCCAAAGCAGACCACCACAACCACGGGGTTGCTCCAAGGTCCACTCTGCTATCAGAGATGTACCAGGAGCAACCCGCAAGGTACACCGCCCCCCCGAAGAGGGCCACCTCCCACCGCCCACCGAAGTGGGCAACCTCCCTGTGCGTTTCTTAGCTTCGCGCCGGGTTGGATGCCGGGCACTACTGAGCCCCCCCACCACGACAAGGTGAACGCACGTTGGGGGGGGACTTATAACCTTACTAATATTACTCTTTCACAAAAAAAACACTGAACGTATTTTGATGAAACTTTATAGTAATATAGCTTTAATACATCAGAATAACACATAACAGACTATAATTTTTAAATATATAGTAATACATAATTGAACAACGCGTACGGAACCGCGGGATCAATATACTATAACTAATTGTATCTTGGGGACCATTTAATATTATTTGTTACTGGGACTATTTATTTTACAAAGTTATACATCGGTATGTACCGAATGTGTACAAATCGTACAATTGACCTTTGTACTTATTCTCTGATTGGTACCGGCTTTTTAAAGCCGACAAAAACATATTATCATTGTGACAATTGACAAACTATTAAAAATTGGCGAATCATTAAGTATATTCGTTTCCTTAACTTTTATCCACTGTACAACCTGCAGCGACTTTGTCCCCAAAATTATGATAAGTTAGGAGAAATATTATGTATAGCCATTGTATTTAGTTATGACCATTAGTTTTATAAACTTATGAACTTACAAATATATTACATCTTTGCGTTATCTTGCAAGCAAGGCCGAATATAAAGTAATTTAACCCGTCTGAATATTTCGTCGGCAGTTTCGAAGATAAGCCCGTGTGAATAAAAAGACCCACAAATATAGAAAATAGTTGTTTAGCTACAATGGACCATAACTGGTCGACGTAGCTAGGGCCGACCTCGGCATTACACCCAATACAATAAATAAATCTATACGAATAATATAAATGTGAAAGTTTGTGAGTATGGATGTATGTTTGTTACTCTTTCACGCCAGAACGGTTGAACGGATCTGGATGAAATTTAGCATAGAGTTAGATTATAGTCTGGAATAACACATAGCCTACTTTTTATACCGAAAAAATGTACGGTTCCCGTGGGATAGGTTTGTTTTTATTTTCCTAGAGGCGAACCCGAGCGAAGAGAGGGTAAGTCGCTAGTAAGAGTTATAACTAGTTATGTGTAGATTATTTTTGCTTATTAATTATTATTATATATCTATACACATAAAACTATAAGGTCAACGTCCTACTTTCACTGACGGACAAGGTGAAGATTACTTTGTCAACATAATTGAAGTAATACATTGGTGACGCCACGACATTTTATTAATGGCCGTCAAAACAAAGTGAGTCAACAGCTTTGTATAACCCCTAACCTTAATATCGTAATATTTTAGAGGAGCTCTATTATTGTATTACTTAAATATATATTTTTTATATTAATCAACAGTTGTTTTCTGAACACAGTAATGGTTTATTTAAATACCATTAAGTAGGTATCTACTATTGTACCTGTATAAAATGTTTAGTTATGTTTAATTTTCTTAAGTAATATCTAAGATTTTGACCATAGGTACCTAAATATTATATTTTAATGTAGCTTTAAAATAAATAATCTGCAACACGTCTTCTCTATTCTTAAGTATTTTAGATATTTGAGATATTTAATTAAGCTGAAATGACAACCATACAAACCGCGAATTTAAATGATATAATAGTCCAAAAATGGAAATATCACGGCGCTAAGTCTAGATATTACTGTTTTTGTTATCTAACATCTGTATAATGGGGTGTTCTGATGAAATTTTGATGTGGTGCTACCGTGGCCTTTTTACCGTCACAGCTTTTGTCATCTTTGGATGCGCTCCACAGATGCTTGGCATGCCTTAAATGTGACTTACATTCAACACTCTTATCCATTTCTGCCTCGCACGTACACTGTGACGCTGTAATATAAGATTCTCCAAAAACCCAACCAAATGAAAGGAAATGCACCCTCCTCCCCATCTCCCCTTATGTTGCAGATGTCTATCTATGAATGGGTTGGATAAATTAAAACGTTCATGGTTTCATTATAAGAAATGAACTTTCTTAAATAAAAGTAAGCAAGATCGTCTTATAGCACATCCAGCTATCCTGGCAAGTATTCCATAGTAGAGACGTACATGCGGCACGCCGCAGCCCGCACCCTACATTTGATCACTGCACAGGGTCGTACTACTTGACATATACCAGTATATAATTTTCTAATTACCATTATTTCTTGTCTGCTTTCCAAGTTCCTATTTTCCGCTTATCTAAAATTAAACTTAAAAAAATATTAACGCTTGCGGCTTCAAGCGCTTATATTTCTATTTATAATATAATACTAGGTATTTACCCTTCGCTCTCGGGTGATCTGGTGCGTCCCTGTGTACTTACGCGGATTACAATTACAATTTTAAGGGTTTTAATTTTTTAAGTACCTGTATATTTTCATACGCATTTAGTAAAAAAACTGTTATTTTAACATTGTAAACAGACACTTCAACTTTATTTGTCTTAGATAACTTATTAATATAATCTCCACTGAAATTCAACTTAATATTGTCCAAAGTCCAATACGCGCGCACACTAACAAAGAGACTGACAGACAAATGATTTTAAAAACTGTTTTTTATGATGACCCAGTTACTAATTTAGTCATGTAGATATTCCTTGACATTGATTTCTTCTGTTGTTCTATGAAAAGTCCGAGGCTTCTTACTGACTGACGTCAGTCACCCTTGTCTTAGCAGTAAGTTATTATACTCTATTCGCTGAGTGAACTATGCAAAGCACTTTCTCTGTCCCACATTAGCATACAAACTGATAAGGTCAGAAAATTGTCTAGCTCCGCCCACTAACGCTTGCAACTGGTTTGGAAACATAAGGCTCGTTCATGTTGCTAATGCTTTAGTGAAGAATTATTAATAATTTGTAATAAAATAAAATCAATTTATAAATAAAATCAACATTAAAATAAAATTAACTAAATTTTTAAATATTTATATACATTATTTATTAATTTTCGCTTTCCGACGTATCATTGTCATCTCGTACATTGATATATAATAATTCAAGTAACTACATGAGAGACGTTTGAACGATACGGAATGCAACGACGGACTAATTATCACTTGCTTTGTACTCGTAATCGCGGCCTAAGTGTCTTATGTGCAACTAATCACTTGGAAGCGCAAAATCTCAGTCACGGTAATGTAATGCATACATACAGTATTCCAACTCGAGCCTGTCCTTGAAATAAATACCTACAGCCGAGCGGCACGTACCCACGCGACAGGGCTGCCCGCCGGACAGTATTTTAATTTCATCTACTTACTTGAGTTTCTTTCTAGTTTTGTGATTTCAAATATTATATATTTTATTTAAAAAATATTATTAGTAGATTTAATTAAAAAATCTCAAATTTATAAGGGTGGTATGTGACCCTTATAAATTTGAGATTTAAAAATATTTGCACCTCGACT